TTCAACATCTGAGGCAACACCACAAAGAGCTCTATGACCAATGCAGGGCATTTTGTAAAGGTGTAACAAAATGTTTTTTTCTGCCAGACATTTTGTTACACCTTTACTTAGTGATTATTTTTCCTTATGTCACATGTTATAGCTTTTTGATAAAGCTCTAATTGGTTTTCTTTTGGAAATATGTTTCAAATTCACACTGAATGCATTTATGACTGTAAAGCATGTCTGTGTGTGTCAAAATCGTGATTAAAATCGAAATCGCAAAATTTATCAAAGAAATCGCGATAAGTTTTTTTGTCCATATCGCACAGCCCTACTTTCTATCTTGTAATTCTTGGGGGAAAAGTCCAAACTGTGAGATAAGATTTTGCAATTATCTTTTTACTTTTATGTCATTGCAGAAACAAGCTTCCATAATGTTAATGCTCACACTTCATGTGAAAGAGAAAATCACTAAATCTCTAGAGAACTGAACTGTATTTTAGCACGATCAAGCCAACATCTCTGGTCAAAATATCATATTTTGCTAATTTCTTTCCCCAAAGTCTGTTTTGCATTCTAGATTATTATTATTACTGCCACTTCTGTTATTTTGAACATTCATTAGCTCTTTGTTTTTAGTTTCTTTCTCTTCTGATGTATTTATTTCAACCTTTTCTTTTCATTGGCATATTAATATATATTTATGAGACATTCCTTTTCATTAAGAACAAAAGTTAGAGTAAACCTACTCGCAGATAAAAGAGTGATTAAAACAATGAGGACACAAGTGTGAAAAATCATGTTTACTATAGTAGTGACATTTTCTGACACACAAACAGTAGGTTTTTAATACTTTCTGATTTATTTGTTAACTTACCATCCCTGTTTCTCATTGAAACCTCACTAAAGTCCAATAAATCACGTTGTATGAATCTTAAATGACAATCAAAACATCCTGAATCAAAAGCAATACATCACTAACTGTGATGGCCATTTTTACCAGCACTTGTGAAGAATCAATTCTAATATATAGATTATATATAGGTTCAACTGTGAAACTGTACTGTGGCAAATTTGGGACCTAACTTTTTATTTTTTATTTTAGAACTTTTTTTAAATAAAATCCTTAGTTTTAGATTTTAATACTGGTCACTGATTTAGCAGAGCAATTTTTTTTTATATATATACATAAATAATAATTAGCTCACCAAAAGCTTAAACTGTGAATACATTTTTTTTTTCATTTCATGAAATATGTTAGTTTTTGTTATTTACTGGTTTTTAATCATGTTTTGTGCCACTGAATGCTTTTGTACAGATCTTTAGAATCTCTTTATCGTGCCTTTTCTAGAGCCGTGAGGCCTTACGATACAAATGAACTCGAAGCATAATTCAGACAATCCGATTTTATATAAATAGTTTTGTAAAAAAATAAACCCTGGGTTTTAGTTCAGTGAATAAGCATTAAGGGCATTACAGACCAAGCGCAAGCTCTGTTTTATATTCAAGACTCAGTATTAAACACAGTAGAGCATTAGAGACTCTATTTTTTACACATGAAGTAGTTTCATACAGTACTTTTAATACGACCAGCTAAGAAATTAGGTCTATAATCAAGATGAATTATGTGTAAAGTTTTATGTTTATGTGTAAAGAATGTCACATAACCCTGTAGATTTTATTTTTCTATGTTTGATATCGGCCAATGAATGGAGCACCCAGTAGAAGTGACTTTGCGATCTTGTATTTTATTCCCCTTTATATAGTTTGTTTCTTCTCGATTGTAAGCTGTGGTTCCTTTGAGCCTGATGGCAGAAAGCATCTGTGCTGCACAAATGTTCACTATTACTCTTCACCTCTCTGGAAAACGGAGGTTTTGTCTTATTTCTTGTTCTTTTGATTCTCTTGGGGGAAATATATACGTATGACAGAAAGCTTTTGTATTGCTTGGCCACTGAACAACGTTACCATATAAACTGTCCCAGTATTTGTCTCCACCGCTGTATTACTGTACCAGAGTTCAATAAACAAACATAAAACGAACAACTCAGTCTTGATGACTTAACAAAAAAACTCCTTTTGAGCTTTTTAATGAAGATTATTTATAGTTTCAGACTGCGTGCACTATAGTAAAAGATTTTTCAAAGATCATCAGAGTAAGTTTGACGAGAAAATGCAATATCAATCTTTCGGCTTTTCACATTTAATTCAACGTTTCTTTGCAACTGTGAAATTGACTATCAATTTCTGAGTGAAAACGAAACCAATTTTTTTTTTCAGTGTAGGTACATCAAATGCATGATTGGTTGAAGGTCGCATGCGCAGAGGTGTTGAATAAATGCGAGACGGTGAATGGCTGAGTATTGGTTTTATTCTAGCATCGAGCCCATCGTGTGTTCAGATCTAACAGAGCAGAATGACAATAACCCGCTGACCTGCAGGCAAACACGCTCATCATATTCATACCGCCAGCTGATGTCCTTGTTAGCTGTGACGTGTATAAGACACAAAGCTGTCAGAGGTTAATATAAACCCAAACCTGAACATATAGTACGCTGTATCCCTACACATTTCCTTTTACAATTTTTACTCTTCTCACCGCACACGTAAAATATTTTCACAGTGATTTTTTTTCTGTACATAGTTTCCATATAATAATACACATCGCCCTTAAAATTATTTCACCCCACATTCGTGATGTGCCCCTATTATTTCTTAAACTGCATTCGAGAAGATTTTCTGCCGTGAATCTGGAAAGTCGACTTCTTGACTTCCATCATCAAAACATGAAACTCTCTGAACGCTATCCGGCACCGTATTATTCTACAATCAGACCGATGTTTGATGAACGCTGTACATCTTTTAAAATAAGTGACCTATGAATGAATTATCAGCCGTATCCCACACGAACCAACCAAGACCCTCTATAAACATGCTAAAAGTGAGCTTGTGGGAAATCTGCGAATCTTCCGATTTGGCAACGTGGAGTCTGTATAAATACACATTTACAGTGATGAGCAGCGCCTGCATTCAGACACCAGACTGGATTCTCTTTGATAGAGTGAAAACCATTTGGATCATCGTGACATTATATTGCATACTGAGCGAGTAAAGCTACTTTAACACACGTCATTGATGCAGAACAACACCTTTGCATACCTTAGTTTCATTAAATAAAGAGAGAGTGATGTGTCTGTACACGAACGAAGAAAAACACCAGTACGGATGCTTTTTCCTCCTCTTATGATTCATTTCGGTAAGCACATCAACTTATCTGATGATCTTTGTCTTAAATGAGCAAATTCAAGTTTTGCTTATTTATATTTCGAAATGATTCCCCACACGCACATACACATAGAAGGTCGATTTGCTAAATCTGAAGCTTGTTTACACACCATGATGTAAATGGCTTTTAAATGAGAGCCGATTCGTATTGCACAAGATGTTTTTGGGGAAGTATTTCACTTTGAACGCAATCATGTGTTCACACTGAAGTGAAGGTACAATTACGATGTTTAGCAGAAATACTCAAGACCCTTAACCAAGACTTGCATTTCACAAACGAGAACAAATCCTACACCCAACATTTGTTCTCCGACTGCGTACAGCAAAGCGAAGCCACATTTCGGCACACAAGCGTTTTAATGTGGCACTATGAAATAGAGTTTCACTCAAACTAAAGCGTCAAACGTTGAGAGTAGGATGTGCTGCGGTAAATGCAGTGAAATGAGAGTTGGTGAAGGGCCGTGTGTTTCGTGTGAGGCGCTGTATGTACACCAAATGGTGGCCGGACCGTCTTGTGTTCCCAACAGGCCGCTCACCATCAGTCGACATACATGGGCGAGCCGGGAGACGCCGGCATTTCTTCCAGAATCCTGCACACGTAACTGGCCACGTCCACGATCCGCTCCTCGTACATCAGGATGAACGGATGCTTCTGCAGGAACAGCACAATTACAGCAACACAAGCACACGTTCAGGGCATGAACCAAGATTTCAGTTCTAGCTGATACACATCATTATTTTCATGCTATAGTGAATAACCAATAAATGGCTGATATTAAAATGCTACACTATTTTGTCAAGTCACCTTTATTTCTCCAGTGCTTTATACAATACTGATGGTTTCAAAGAAGCCTCAAATTAGTAAGCAGGGTTAATCTTGCAAAATGTAGTTTATAATAACATCTATTAATATTAATGCTATGTATTTTATCAAATTATTAGAATTATTTGTAATAATAATAGCGTAAAATAACAACAGTGATAATAATAATAATAATAAAAACAAAATGTATTGTTTTCTAAGTA